ACTCTACCTAATTGATTTGAATTGACAGCTATGACTTCACAATATGGCGCCCAGTTGGTCCTATTTTTAGATGAATCGCATTACACATATTTCATATTTGCACACCATAACCAGTCGCTGTCATTACTCCTATTTCAAAAATCAAGGCTATGATGTCCGCTTAGCTATGAGGCCAGTTAGTTAAATGCTTGTTTAAGAGCAAGTCAAAGCAAAATATCATTAAAATTCGTCTACTTAGTCATTACCCATATATTCACTAATTTATTTTATTTGAAATATGTATCAATAAATAAATAAATTCTAGACAAATTACAATAATCCCAAAGCTAGTCGATTTTTATGTGAATTTCATACACATTTATAGCTCTTATGATAAAGTGGATTTCTTTTCGTAAAATTAATTAATGTAATGTTACGAATTATGACCCATGTTTGGTCAAATTAAATGAATTTGAATTGAATTGTACAATCATTTATGTTAACTGACTGTGAAGTTCCCGAAAAACAAATATAAAGAATTACTTATATAAGTTTAAAATATGACTTAGGAATGAATACTTGTACAAATAAATTATCCATACAACAATACGAACCCTGGGCCTTTTAGGATGAAAGACATTAGACAGCATAGAGCAACACGGCCAGGATGGTAATAATAATAATAATAATAAATATATCTTTATTCAAATAAGGTCATACATTGCATAATAATACTAATAACAATATAAAGTACAAAATAATGGATGGTAAGGTGGTGTAAGCATACACAGCTTTTCCCTCTGTAGCATTGGGCATTCAAATTGGGCTTAAAAACGATACATGTGTACAGGATATGGCAGTGTGTTGCATCATTGTTTATGTGTGAGAGTCGTAATTAAAGTTTTTTACGCTGCAACACGCTTACGCTAAAACTGCATTTGTGTGCATTCTCGTATATCCCCCCGCCAAAAATGCCCCCGTAACTCCCTTCCGTATTGCTCTATGGTAGACAGGTGCACTCATGCACTGCCGGTGCTCCAATCACACTAATAATATAAAGGCGAAAGTTTGTGTGTGTGAGTGTGTATGTTTGTTAGTAAAATTTGGTATAGAGTCAGCTGACACCCTGGATTAACACATAAGCTACGTTTTACTGCGGGAAAATATCCCTAATAAACCGTGGGTAACACTGCGGGGCACTGTCATCTATAAAAAGTTTAAAAAGCCAATTAAGACGATAAATTGATAAGTAAATGGTTCGTTGTTTTTATTTCGCGTGCTAATCAAGTATCCGTCGTGTCCGTACGTGGTGAATATTAATTGAATAACGTTCGGAAATATCGAAAGACACAAACACACATCGTTATAAAAGTCAAAAGTCCGCGGCATCCCATCACACAGACGTTACAGCGAAAAGTCGAGCCAAGACAGTCCGTTCTGAATAATTCATTGCGCACTGTTGACACTGTGTAATTAAAAAGCCCGACGAACTTAGGGTTGCCACTCGGATGAAAAGAACATCGATCGAGTTATATGCAGGAAGGAAGTAAGCTTCACGAAAAGTTTATTAAGAATGAAAAAAAAAACATTTGTGTTTTGTTAAGACAATAAACTACTTCAGTAAAAAAAAAACCTCTTTGTAATTTTTCACAATAAAGTTATTATTATAAAGTTTTTGACGAGCTATAAACTGTGGGTAAGAAATTACTAAATCATATTTACAGACAAACATTAATATTCTTGGAAAAAAACTTATTACATTATTTTATTAGAAATGATAATGCGAACTTCAATGAAAAGTATATCGGAAACATTTGGCCATATAGCAATGAATAGATACGCTCTTTCGATATCGATTGTAACAGAAATAAGGCGCCACGTACTTTTTGAGGAGGAGCTCAATGGCGAGGGTGATTAGCGCGTTCGGCTGCTATCGCTGAAGTTAAGCAACTTTCGCAGTGGTAGAAGATACACACTGACAAAAATCTTCTATCTCGACTTCCTCCGTGCTTCGGAAGGCACGGTAAGCCGTTGGTCCCGGCTATATCTGCAGTCGTTAGCACCCGCAATCCGCACTGGACCCGCGTGGTGGATCATGGCCCAATCTCCCTATTCCATCCATAGGGAATGTGCCCCAGCAGTGGGGACATTAATAGGCTGATGATGTACTTTTTTTATGTTAATAGGGTGGCAAACAAGCATATGGCCAGAATTATGGTAAGCGGCCACCATAGCCTATAGATACTTGCGATACAAAAAAATTCATTTGCGCCTATTCTGACCCAATGCCCTACCATGTGAAACCCTGGAAGCTTACTCACCGACAGAAACACAATACTACCAAAAGGTTGTATTATTTTATTGTGGTCTTCGGTGGAGGTTACTTCCCCAGACGAGCGCTTCAAATCGACGGAGAAGGAAAATCCGCTCAAAAAATGGGAATAATTAACTTAAATAAAAACAAGTTTCAACGGGTTAGATGCACTGTAACACAAATAATTCATCATTATTCGGACGACGCTGTCCTGAAAAGGCTGCGAAACGTAAATAAATAAATAAAATCAGTGCAACTAACCCGTTGTAACTTGTTTTATTTAATGAGTGATGTGCGTGAAAACCTAAGAAACAAATAATTAACTTGTATAGAAAACTTATAGTTTAAGAACTTTCCAGAGGTGCCATGCCAACCCTATCGACATCGCAACCGGGGCTCTCCGCTATTGATACAGTGAGAAAAATTATATCGTGTTTTCTCGCTACTGTTGGTTTTCACTCGGAATGTATTAACGACGCTCTGCGACCGCGGTCTGTGCAATGCAATCGTGTTTTTATCGCCAATTCTTTTAATTAACTTAATTAAACGAAAGCAGTGATTCAGTTGCTCTTGTGACCTTTTTTTGTAATAAAAACAACACAAGTTAAAGATTTAGTTTTTTTTAATTAAAATTATAAAAACAAAAGTTGTGATCAGAATAACAGTTGATGTTTTTTTTCTTCAAGTATTTAACTGTGAGCTTTAGACAAATAGAATTATTTTTTTATCTAAAAATGTTTTCTTTAGATAAGTATATAATATATTTATTCTAAATTTTCGGATATGATTAATTTGGTGATTGTGGCTAAACTATTTTTTTATTAATGCTAGTTGTGTAGTCTGTATATGAACTTGCCCTCCCCTTTTGCCCTTGTAAGTGGAATATTTTAGAAAATATTAATATTTTTTCTTGTCCATTTACTTTTGCCCTTGTACGTGGAATATTTAAGAAATATAATATAATGAATAGTACTAAATAGTTGTAGGGATTACTTCCCACACTTGAATGCTTGCTAAAGTTAAGGCTACTCCAAGGAGTGCTAAATAAAACCGAACTGTGAACCGAATGTTGTAAAAACACTTATTTTATTTTGTAACTAATTGTGCAAAGGAAAAATCAATTGATGAGTATGTTTAAAAACTAATCTGGATTAGTTTGAAATTATCATAATGTTGATTAAGTAGGTATGGTACAGTTCGTACAATAGTAATCACACTAATATTATAAAGCCGAAAAATTGTCAGTGTGTATGTTTGTTACTTCTTCACGTCTACACGGCTGGAGCGGTTTTAATAAAATTTGGTATGGAGTTAGCTGACACCCAGGATTAACACATAGGCTACGTTTTACTCCGGGAAATATCCCTAATCAACCGCCGGTAACACCGCGGGGCACAGTTAGTTTAGAAATAAATGTTTTGCAAGACTAAAAACGCCAAACGATAAATTGTATGCATTTAAACGCTACCATCTATGTACTATGTATATGGTACTTTATTCTTGTAGTTTGGATTTGTAGACTTTTTTAAATTAAAATTATCACGTAATTACGTTCCTATTTTCTGATATATCGACAAAAACGTTATTTTTGGGTAGTAACTAGTGTTGCCAGGTGTCCCGATTTGCGCGGGACGTCCCGATTTTCAGGGGTCTGATGACGCGTCCCGATTTGTACCTGATCGGGACGCCAAACGTCCCAATTAATCAAAAAATTAAATTTGGGTAATTAATATAATACTATACTTGCATTAGTAGTTTAAAACGCAATAAATTAAACCCAGACTTAAAAACCCCATGTTTTTACTGTCCCGATCTGCAAACCTAAATCCCAATGTTTTTGACCTCATGTCCAGATTTAAAATATACCGGAACTGGCAACACTAGTAGTAACGAAAATAGTATAAGTAGTTGAGGGTGTAATCTAAAAATCGACACTCGATGAATAGTAAACTTCCTCATGTCGTTTCGTGTCTTAATACAATGCGGTACTAAAAACTATGTAAGCTAGAGCATAGTGGGCGACGATAACGCTAAAATATATCGCAAGTCTTATGCTTGCGCTTCACTTGGCTATTTGTATTTGCTTTTTGTAAACTTGACAACAGTCTGTTCTTGTCATGCTTTATACGGAATGTAAAGGACATACCGATGTCAAGTTTACAAATAACAAACACGAATAGCCAAGCGAATAACTGGCATTACAAACTCATCAAGAGCACCAGGTTATCTTTGATCCGCAATAGGCAGCAAGTACCTAATGAATACTGTAATGCAATGTTCCTGTCGGTAGCAAGGTCGACGAGCGATTAAGGCTCGTAATACAGAATGACGACTCAGTGTTGATCTTCACTTGAGTACAGATAGAAGAGGATGTCGCTATGTACTATACATATATAGCGACGCCCCTTTCTAGCTGTACTCAAGTAAAGATCAACACTTAGTTAAATAAATAAATCTCCTTAAGTCACTGTGACTGGAAGTACCGGTTTATAATCTTTACTTAATCCATAAAAACTGTCTTTTGTCCCATAAAATTTCAGGTGTTCAAGTCGACTATATCAATTATATAAAGACACGATTTTTTCACTAGACAACCTTGCCGTTGTTTTCGCCACTGTAATTATTGTTCAGACACACCAATATAGCATTTCCAAGGTAAAATTTATTTAAAAAATCAATAAATAATTATAAACGATATTGTACATACCGTGCTGGATGCGCGGGCGCAGGGGCGGCTGGGGGTAGTATACACCCCAGCCCTTCTTCTATGCTCGGCTCCTTGTCAGTCGTGCGTTGTGTTGCGCCTGGGAGAAAACCATATTATAAGGGCAGGGAATTAAAGGAATCGTTAAATATTAGAGCAGATGATTTAGCATTGCTTATTATAAGTATTTAAGAGAGAGAGAGGTTTAGAGAATCATGCCAGAATCGAGCACATAATTTATTTATAATGGCTCAATAACGGGCAACAGACATAAAATAACAACGATGTAAAAGAAATGAAATATTCTGGAAATTCCTGTGCCCAAATTATGCACAACATTTACGCACATAAATAGACATTGAACAAAAAAAATACCTTAAAAAAGTAATGGTCTTTAAGGTTTCTTTATCAAAATATGAAAATTATACTGCCAATTCCTATGCAATAACAATAGAAGAAAACATGTCGCCTAGTGAAGATAATCCATTCTTGAAACAACTACACCTCATGGCTCTATGTGTATTTGTTTCATATGGAAGCTAGATGTTTTTCGAGATTCATAATCTTTATTGAAAAAACCTTATGCGTTTCCTATGAAGAAGAAATCTAGTTTTCCATATTACTTTTTAATTTTCTAAATTGATCAGAGTTTATACATTTCCGAGCAAAATCAAAATTTTCTGAATTGTTCCGAATAAGGTACAAACATTTCCGAATATTTCCAAGCAAAGGTCAAAATTTTCTAAATTGTTCCGAATAAGGTACAAACATTCCCGAATTTTTCCGAGCAACGGTCAAAATTTTCTGAATTGTTCCGAATAATGTACAACATTTCCGAATATTTCCGAGTCAGGTCTGCATACGGTAGCGGCGCTTACCTTGCGAGCGCTGCAGGCGCGTGGTGACGCCGGCGGGCAGGTCGGGCTCCGGGGCCGCCCGCGCCGGGTTCCGAGCCGAGCGGCGCTGCCGAGGTTTACGGAGTAACTGCTTGTAGTTCTCCGCCTTCTTTGATAGGTAGTAGAACCTGGGTGAATGAAGAATTCAATGAGTAGTTATAAATAGGAAATAGGATGGTGATCTTCAAATCTGTGCGCAGTACCCTTAGCACGAATCATTGTCGAATACGAATAGTTGAATTCGATCTTGATATACGTCAAATATGTACTGATTTGTGTTCTTGTTGCGTCCGTAGTGGCGCTGCTGTTCAAGTATTCATCATACATTTATGGATTTCATACAAAATTTGACAAAAATCATAATTATTATAATCATAATAGTAATCATTTATTTAGTTTAGGCTGTTACAAGCAGTCATGAATGTCTAGGAGCTACGCCATCGGGGACCTCGTGACCTGAGAAGCACCGGCAAGAAACTCAGCAAGGGCTGTTTTTCTCCCTGTATTATTATTTACAGTCGTTAAAAATGACTTCAGATATGTTTCATTTTATTACGCGTATGTACAATAATTGTTCACTTGCATTTTAATTGCTGTGTAAATTCAGTATAAATACAAATAGTGTTATCTTTATATATATAATTCTTCTGTGAGTGTGTATGTCACTGAACTTCTCTTAAACGACTGGACCGATTTTGATGAAATTTTTTGTGTGTGTTCAAGGGGATCTGATAATGGTTTAGATTCACAATTTTGTCCGCTGGACAACCCCTATTTTTTTAGGGCGGTACGAAGTTCGCTGGGTCAGCTAGTTTACATATATTAGGTGTAACTAGACATTATGAATGAAAATGAATGATGAATGAACAGATGAACCAAACCAACGCTTCACTCAACCATATTTAAGATAACGTAACAACCCACCTCATACGACAATGAATTTTGCTGTCGCAAACTTAACGTCTTCAAATCTTTTGCACTCGCAAACGTAACGAATTCGATATTGGTTCGTGCTCAAGGTGTTGATTCTACTAAGCAGACGTAAAAATTGTCTTAAATATTAGTTCTATAGTATCGCTTATTTATTAAAAATATTTGTAATTTTAGTGTTATAGTAACAAGAACTGTTTCAAAATCAATCGCTTTTATTTATTTATGTATAGATACTAAATGAGCAAGCGTACAAAGGCGGACTTAATGCCGTAGGCATTCTCTTCCAGTCAACCATAGGGTGTTGAGGATAATTAGTGTTAGGGTGCAGAACTGAGGTGAAAACTACAGAAAGAAGAACAAATATAAATATGTAGTAGTCATATGTATAATTAAGCATGCACAAATAGGCACCTACATATTAACAATTATACATATATATTACACATATACATATATAAACGTAACAAAATAATGACGTTTTTAGTATCCTAAAGAACAATAACGGTATTAAAAATAAAAAAATACTAAAACACCATTAATACCCAATTATTACTGTAACTGAGCAGAATTGACAAGCCCTAATCGTCATAAATTATAGCTAAGAATCACCGCCAGAAAACCTGCTTTCAAATACAAAAACATCCAAATTAGTCTATTCGTTTACGAACCACGAAACTATATACGATGCCAAGTTTTTGCGTCTGCTTCGAAATCATCCAACACCTTATCGGACTCGCAAACGAAAGGTGTGAAATCTTCATTATCATTCACCACCACCATCAACCTATTAATGTCCTCACTGCTGGGGCACAGGCCTTCCCTATGGATGGAATAGGGAGATTGGGCCATGACCCACCACGCAAGCCCAGTGCGGATTGGTGGGTGCTAACGACTGCAGATGCAGCCGGGACCAACGCCTTAACGTGCCTTCCGAAGGACGGAGGAGCTCGAGATAGTAAATTTTTGGTCACCCATCCAATAACCGACCACTACGAAAGTTGCTCGACTTCAACAATCGCAGCCGAACGCGCTAACCAGCCGCGCCATCGAGCTCCTCTCATTATCATTGGTCTATTAATATCCCCAGTGCTGAGGTACACAGGTCGTTATGTACGCAACAGGTAGCCAATTGTGGATTGGTGGATATTAACGACTGTAGATTCAGCCGGAACCAAAGTTCCGAAGCACGGAAGAGTTTCGGATAATATGATTTATTTCTGGTCACTAATACTATGGCCATATTTGGGCCATTGAGCTTCTCTAGCATACCATAAAACAATATTAGTTTCTATAGGATACGACGAGGGAACGGGACTGATGCTCTTTTAACACAGATTATTTTAATATATTGAACAATATCTTTGGTACTGACCTGACACAATCTCTGACACTTTTCCTGGGTAAGAAGGAGGCGATCTGTCCGAAGTTCTTGGGATGCTGTAAGTATTTCTCCCGGAACACTTCTCTTTCGGCCGCTGACCAAACGTTCCTGTTCTGCAGTCCTTTGTGTTCCGCCTCCATATCCATACACCGTCCTGGGGGCACAATTGATTATTAGACTTTAATCATCATATATACTAATAAAAAAACGACGGGTTGCACTCCGGGAGTGCCGGCAGAAGTGAAAACTTGAATATTAACATTGTGCATTTTTGATATTTTGGAATGGTTGCGGAATAATTTTACACGAATTGCTTTAATAATCAGTATAAAAGTACTATCATGTATGTGGTAGAATACAATATTTATTTATTGCGCTATCGTACACAAACATGACAATTTATATTACATTAAAAAAGTTTATCTCCCAGAAAAATCAACTTACATGAATCACGTTTAAGCACACTTAGCGTCATCTATTGTAAAGCAATCAACTTACACGAATCACATTTAAGCGCACCTAGCGACATCTATTGTAAAAAAATGCATTTTCTTCTCAATAAAGCTGCCACGGGGACGTCCTAGATAGACTTATTATTATAATACGGTAAAATAAAATATTACTATGTTTCGTCCAATATAATGAAAGGCAACAACCTTTCCAATTTTATTGTGTGTCTGATGCGATCAGCCCACGTGTTTAACCTGACGCGAGTTTATACAACAAAAAGTGTACAACGCCGCTAAAGAAGTTTTCACTTCAAAAAGGACATAATATTTACATGGCAAAAGTACCGGAGCGGAAAATTTAATCCCAGACACCATTCAAAACTGACACTTAACATGGATTTTCACATTTGCTATTTGTAAATGAGGGCTGTCGCGCATGAATCCGCCGCTAGAGGCGCTTGTGTAGCGCGAAGTCTCCAAAATGTCAAATGTTGTGTTTCTTGTGGGTTGACTATGCGGGTTAATTTCTAATTAAAACAATGTTGTGAATATTAGGAAATAACTCAGATTAATTATGTCACGTGTCAATAAATGTCAGTTATTTAAATGCGTTGCTAAGAGAAGTTATTATCTCATCCTTTTTGCGAATAAAACAGAACTGCGCAACACTTTGGCATGGCCGACTATGTTTACGATACGGTTGTTTTATATTAAAATATGATTTAAATTTAATCAGATTTTGATATCACGCGCGTATGAAGAAACTTTAAAAAGTGCTCTTCTTCACAAGTAAGTACTCATCAATGGCGCTATCTGGTGAAACGAAATACGGTAGCCCTCATTGTGTGCAAAGTAGAGAAGCTCAATTGCGTAGGTTTTTAAAAAGTTTGGCTTGCGATCGTGGAAGTTCTTTCACAATGGCCGGTCTTTGGATGGGTGGCCAAAAACTTATAGGGTGTATTCCGAAATATAAACCAGTACGCTGGCCAGCGGTAATGACGTCATGATTTGGAATACACCCATAATCTCAGGCTTCTCCGTACTTCGGAAAGCATGCTAAATTGTTGGTGCCGGCTGCATCTGCAGTCTTTAGCACCCACTAATTCGCACTGGGCCCGCGTAGTCATGTCCCAATATCCTTATTCCATCCACAGGGAAGACCAGCGCCCCAACAGTAGGGACATTAATAGGCTAATGATGATGATAATTAGTAAATTTGACAGAAGTCTCTCCTTTTTAAAACCCGGTACAAATGATGTTGCGATTTGTACAAATGATGTTGCTATTGTCAACTTATCAAAAACAAATAGCCATGCAAGCATAAGATCCAACCACGCAAGCCGAATGTAGCGTAAGCAGTGCCTAGGGCTCAGCATGACTATGAAAACCTAATGCCTAAGAGGAGCTCGATGGCGCAAGTGGTTAGCGCGTTCGGCTACGATCGTTGAAGTTAAGCAACTTTCGCAGAGGTCTTTAATTGGATGGGTGACCAAAAATTTACTATCTCGAGCTCCTCCGTGCTTCGGAAGGCACGTTAAGCCGTTGGTCCCGGCTGCATCTGCAGTCGTTAGCACCCACCAATCCGCACTAGGCCTGCGCGGTGGGTCATGGCCCAATCTCCCTATTCCATTAATAGGGAAGGCCTGTACCCCAGCAGTGGGGACATTAATAGGCTGATGATGATGATGTATGTTACGTGGCCAGACAGGTGTCCTAATTCAAGCGGCAAATCCATCTTTGACAACTTAACAAAAACAAATAGATATGCGAGCATTAGATTCAACCACGCAAGCCGAATGTAACGTAAGCAGTTTAATGAAGTGGACTGCTTTATGGGAATGTGCACACACAAGTATGTAATCTAATACAGTTATATATAGTTTTTTTGAAGCATTTAACTGCTAGATGTTTAACTGCCAAATTTTACTAGAAAAACTCGAATTGACTCCCGTCTGCTGCCTGGGGGCCATTCGACTAACGGAAATGCTTTGGAAATCGCTAACGCTTTCGATTTCATTTTGTTATTCCTGAGCGCCAAAGGTTTTCAAATACGATAGAGATGGCGCTGCCTTGCAGCTAAGAAATGCTAGAGAAAATTCGACACGGACAACTAGGGCCACGGTAGCATAATGATCTGTGCATGCGCTCGGATAGCGGAGGGTGCGAGTTTGAGTCCCGTCTGGTGTCTAGTACCGCGTGGATTTTTTTCTAGTCAAATTTTCTTTCATCATCATCATCATCATCAACAGCCTATCTATCATCCTAGTCCACTGCTGGACATAAGCCTCTCCAAATGTACACCACTCAGATCGATCTTGGGCTACTCGCATCCAGCTCCTGCCAGCCACCTTGCGCAAATCGTCACTCCATTTTCTTTATTCAAGGGTTACACGATCAGTTTGGCGTCAGTTCAGTCCATCAGTTTGCTCAGAATGCCGCGAGAATTATCGTCTAACCAGTTGACTGACTGACTGATGGTCCAGAATGACAAAAATTAAATATTTTAATTTTTTTATCATTCTGTTGTGATTGACATCAGACTGATGCCAGACTGACCGTATAACCGCTCGAATCATTCCCGCGTCAGTCACCGTCCGCGACGCAATGGAGCAAGACGTGCCAAACGACGAAGAAGTCTTCTTCTTCATCCTGTTGTCGTATTTCATTTAATAAATTAAGATGCGTGTAATGTTCTCTTTTTTGCAGCCAGGTTTTCATCCATCGCTTCCTTTTTACGCGTTTCTTTAGCAGTAAAGCGATAATTATAATAGCACAGGCTCTTTTATTCTTCAAAGTATCCATGGCTTGGCAGGATGAGGTGACTCACTTTACTGTTCTCTTCACTTTACAAATGATGACTACGTAAGTTTTATCAGTCTGCTGTCAGTCTAGACTGAACGTGTAACCGTGTTTTTCATCCATCATTCTGGCATCAGTCTTAGCCGGACCAAACTGATGGACTGAACTGACGCCAAACTGATCGTGTAACCCTTGACTTAGATTTATCCAATTCAGTCTAATTTATGCAACTAACTTACAACATTATAATGCTTATTAATTATTATTATTAATTTCTAGTGCTCGCTTAGGTTAGCTGAGTCCTCTATGATAAAAAGGTCGATGTGGCAACTTCCGCTTTTCTCGCAAATAAGACAAAACGTATCGCTGGCTAGTCGCTAAGAAATTTTGATTGAGACTGCGTGATACTTTGTTCTGAGCCAACTCTCTGCGTGGGCGCGGCCAAAGTGCTGAATATGGTATTATACAGGGCTCATTTCCTGTATCATATATTCAGCAAAGGGATCATTCATGATCTTCCTTTCATTTAAAATGCTATGTTATTTAGAAAAAAATATACTTATGATTTACCCTTTCGACAGTTGTCATAAAATACGTCATATGTTTTTCACATTTCACGAGTTAGATTCCCGGTTGTGGCAGGCGATTTTTAAAAAATCTTTGAATGCAGTGCTAGTTATTATTAAAAATAAAATTATGTCTTCTTTCAGTAAAATATCCTATCTTCAATATTTAATATACTTGCCCTCCATGTAACAGTGCCGTGGGACGCCCTGTATTCTACCTGTTTTATTTATCAAAAAGCATATAAAAATCGTTAACACTCAGTTAGTGTCCATGTATTTGGGCGTGGGGTCCCTTGGGTCCCTCAGTAGCGGCGGCACGACGGTCAACTACCTCACCTTCTTGTTCTCGTGTTCTTGTGCGTGGAAACCGTCAAATATTACCTAATAAAATAAAAACAATGATGACACTCACTGTTAGTGTCAATGTATTTGGGCGTGGGGTCCCTTGGGTCCCTCAGTAGCGGCGGCACGACGGTCAACGACCTCATTTTCTTGTCCTCGTGTTCTTGTTCGTGGAGACCGTCAGCTATTTCTTCTAGCTCAGCTTCGGATTTAACTCGGGCCCCGAGGCGATTGAAACGCTCGCGTTCTTCCCGCTGCTTTCTTAACTCGGGGAATACCTGGAAATGAACATTTGGCTATTAGATAAAATAAACTGATTTCGACCAAAATATTCATCAGTAAATTATTAAAATAGAATAGTAATGCTTTTCTTTGTCTGCGGAATGGCTGAATTCACCCCATGTGTTTAAATTAAATATCGTATACATAAAGTTATAGTGCCGTGCAAAGAAATATGATACTTTTCATCAAAGAAATCATCCTATAATGTGGTAACATTAATGAATGAAATGAAATGGGAAATGATGTTTTGTATAGGAAACGATTTAAACCACGCAGACGAAACCCATAACTAACTGTACACGATCATAACTCATAAAGATGGCACTTCAAATGGATATTCGTTTTATTGCTAAATTGAATTTAGCAGCAGTCTCTCCTTTTCAATACTTCTTGAGAGATACTGCATTCCGATTAGCCCTATGAAGTTGGAAAATAACATTGTGACCTGAAATTTTGTTGCTTATCCTACACCTGCGTGACCAAGTTTTGGTACTAAAACGCGCTAAAATTAATAATAATAAATAAAATAGTAATAAATATTTCCAACACTCGCACCAATTAGCCTAGCCCCAAGCTAAGCACTATAAGGCTTGTGTTACGGGATACTAGGGTAACGGATAGAATACATAATTATACTGTACATATATGAGTATATTTATATAGAAATAACATATTAAACATCCATGACTGGAGTACAAATGCTTGTATTCATCACACAAACATCTGCCCCCACCGGGATTCGAACCCGGGACCTCTCGAGTCGGCGACACCATGAAACCCGGCGTACAAACAATTCGGCCAAGGAGGTCGTCATTAGCATTCGAACTTTGAATTAAGTACGATCCTTCAGCTGCACAAAGTCATCGTCTCCCACAACCTCTTTATAGCGTGTTATATCATTGCCAGTCAAGGTATCGTCTAGCATCTTAAAAAACACGCAGCGCAATAATTAATTTCGACAAAACTAATTATAATTTCATTTAGTACCAAAGCCACCCGAAGCTTACAATGAAACTGTTTCACTTTTGCTATATTTATTTTATATCAAAGTTTGTAAAGAGAAATATTGTATGTCCCATGACTATTTTCCTATAGCTTTGAAAGGTAAAGCGAAAGAAATAAAGTTAGACAAGTAGCCATCTCTTCTTTATGAAGCCTGGCTCTTAGCACTTCTATGCTTTTGTAGTGTGACTAAGCTTACATATAACTTTATTCATGATTCTATTACGATTTTATTTCATAAATTTCTCATAAGTCTTCCATTTCATGAGGACAAGGTGAACTGAATTCCATCATGATTCTATTACGATTTTATTTCATAAAAATTTCTCATAAGTCTTCCATTTCATGAGGACAAGGTGAGACCTCGCAGACAAACTAATTAGGCAAATTCAGTTTGATTTTGATATGAGGAGTATGGGTTAAACTTATCTTTGTGAAATACTCAAACAACTATAACACTAAATTGACTAAAATAACTTTACCTTCTCGAAGAACTCTCGATTTCTGGCGTCCTTTGCTTTCCTCTTCTGCCCTTGTTCTATCCTCTCTACCCTTCTTAACCACTCTGCTGCACGTGAGCTGTACGCTTCTGCTAACATCTCTTCTCGCTGTAAACAAAAAATAGTCTTTATATATATAATTCTTCTGTGAGTGTGTATGTCACTGAACTTCTCTTAAACGACTGGACCGATTTTGATGAAATTTTTTGTGTGTGTTCAAGGGGATCTGAGAATGGTTTAGATTCACAATTTTGTCCGCTGGACAACCCCTATTTTTTAGGGCGGTACGAAGTTCGCTGGGTCAGCAAGTTATGATATAAGTGCGGTCAGTTGAGAATTACAGCCGAGACGATATTTTTAGCCCGAGCCGCAGGTGAGGCCTATAAGAAGGCAGAGGCTGTAATTATCAAACCGCTCGTATGTCATACGACGTTTTTTAACACATTTGCGAAGAAATAATACTACCTACGTACGTATTTTCTGAAAATGAATTTGCACCTTTGTTTTCCATAAGATAAAATTTTGATACGCTTGACTGTAAGTATCTATCCGTGGATTTTTCGGGCAAAGAGGCTTAGCGTAGCCTTTTTCGACTTCTGGCGGTGTCAAATTAATAAATTCGTTACTACTTGACAATATTTTCAAATAAAAACAATACAGCGAAAAGGAAAAGAAATAATATTTTCACAGATTAGCGATGCGCGCGCATCAACGCTTTTAAAGTAAATTAATATTTTTATGAATTTGTTACCGATGCATGGTTGTAATTTATTGTCAAAATAAATCAAATTAAAGAATTAAATGTTTATATATTATATTTAATATATATTAAAGTTAATTTTATTAAGAAAATGGTGGCTACCTTTCTGACATAAAAACTCTTTGCTAAGATTTAAAAAAGTATCGTTCGTTTTTAGACGGAACATAATACATATCAAGCCGTGCTTTTTAACTTTACATTACCGCACGCGTGTGTTATGTGATAGATTATGATATTGAAATTGGTGCAATAAGAGACGCTTTACGAGCAAATTTGTTACAAAATACATTATATTAATGGCTGAATATACGCATAAAGAATGGACTGACGGGACACCCACTGAATTTAAAAATTAGTAGATGAAGAGAAAGAAACACTAATACCATGCCGATACCTAGACATACATAAAATCCGTAAATGGCGGACTTAATGCCATAAGCATTCTCTACCAGTCAACCAGTATGGGTGTATGAAACGGATGTTATGGCGATAGAGTGCGACAAAGAGATATATCTGCCAAAATTATACTAATTTTTCTGCTACTTGAATATAGCTTTCCCTTAACAACTGTTAGATAAAGCCCCTTGCATTATTTATTTCTATAAGACTGACATGACGACGGATTACACTTTATCATCGTTATCATCAGCCTATCAATACACCATGACCCACCACATGGGTCCAGTGCGCCTTGGTGGGTGCTAACAACTGCAGATGCAGCCGGGACCAACGAATGTTCCTTCAGAAGCATGAAGGAACTCGAGGTACTAAATTTATGGTCCCCCATCCAATGAATGACCATTGAGAAAGTTGTTTTGCACACATGCGCTAATCATTCCATCGTTGAGGTATATTGGATGAAAGAAACTCAAGTTTTTCATTGTGTCCTACAATAATAGGATATTCATGGTTTAATCATTGGAAATCAGACAAATATGAGCTGTATGGGAATGGGATTACAAAAAATTGCGCTATTAAACATTCGAAGCACTGATGAACTAAATTCCTTCTCAAATTGCATAATTGAATTCCATCCACACACGGTACGAGCAGAAGCACAGAAATCGCTACCGATTTCCCTGTCCAACATACTGGCTAGTACCAAGCACACTATCTGAAGCATATCTGCAGCCTTAGCACAAGCCAATATCGAATTCGTATTGTTTGCGAGTACGCAATGTCATTGTCAAATGTTTACTGATTTTTAGTTCTCGGTACGTACGTTATGGCGCTGCTGTTCAAGATTTCATACAAAATTGACAATGAGATTGCGGACTCGAAAACTATTCGAATTCGATATTGGTTCGTGCTAAGGGTACTAAAGTGTGAGAGTGACGTCGTAGCGATAGTGCGCCCAGTATTCGTATAGGAATTGGCTGCTGCATCATTGCTCCCACTCTTAAGTAGAGAGCTATAAATTTTATACAAATGCCGCTTATTCTCTATGTCTATGGGTGTTTCCGACTCCATTTTTACATATATTGTCTTTATCCGAATTCGAATATCGAAGTCGTGTTCAAGCACTTTTATTGGGACAATTTTGAACGCACGTGATGTATCCTCTTCATCTTCGTCGTTACACTCTTAGTCTTAGTAGTACGGCGGGCTGTTTCTGCAACTCGACACCCAATGCCTATTTTGCGTGGGGATTTGCATCAGTCCTGCCACCCCAGCTCCTCCAGAAAGCTCAGCCGTCCCCGGATGTTGCTGCAGGCCTCAACTAGTGTCCGCGAACATCCCATTAGAGAAGTCCTTTGTCTTGCAACGTCTCTGCACTCCAGCAGTCCAGCTCCAGTCATTACAATCTTGGCAGAGTGGTCGTGGCCGTTACTTCAGCTTCCAGCTGCATAAAGCGACGTCATACCTCCCTCATGGCTGCTTTCCTTGTGCACACGCGTAGAGGATCATTTGTTATGGCTTTAATTGGGTCAGCCCATCTTGTTGGCGATCTACATCGTGATCGGGTGCCTTCAAGTCTAACCGGAAAGACGAGACGCTCGATGGAGGCCACCACGGTGAGACACGTGCACGCAGAAAGCAAGGATGCGAGCTTGGATAACAGAGGACAACCGCTGCTTGATGCCGAGTTCTTAGAGAATTGAATTGTTGGTTCGAAATTTGCTCCATGATATTCCAAGCATTCTTCTCCAGCACCACATTTCGGGAGCATCTACCCTCCGTCTCTCACTCTCGCGTAATGTCCAGGCTTCTGAGGCATACAAAAATATGGGGAACACTAGTGTTCTCACGAACTAAGGTATCTAAGGGTATTTGAATATATTTGATTTTCTCTCACAAAGTAGCGTGATGTATCATAGTATGTGATGTTTCCTTTGAATTTTCTATATTCCTTTCTTGAATGTACGATATGATAGTTACCTTAGCAGCTTCCCTCTTTAGGCGATGTATGTGCGCGGCGAGGCGACGGCGGAAGGCGCGATGTTTACGAATATTGTCGTGGTAGGGGGCCGCGTCTTGAGGCTGATTGTAGAGAGGCCATTGCACCGCCGGGCCCAAATGGGAAACGGCGGCGTGAGCGCACATCGCCTGCGAATGTGTAAAAAATATTGTTGTAAATAAAGTAAACGAACACGTATACATGAAATATTGTGAATCTCCTCCCTTATGAAGTCGGTTCAAAAATATTTCTTACGCTAACACCAATAAGCCTAGCCTCAAAGTGAGCAGTAGGCTTGTATATGGGATACTAGGATAACAGATAGAATACATATACTGATACATTTTAGAAATACATATTAAACATCCATGACTGGTGTACAAATGCACGCATTTATCACACAAACATCTGCTCCCACCGGGATAAGGTAAGGCTTCTTCTATTACTGGATACTAAGGTAACGGATACATACGAGTAACAATGACACATTAAAAATAAGTTTCTTTTTTATATATGTTTATGTCATGGTTTAAGTACATAAAATCAACTTAACCCCAAAGTAATTGAGAAGACCAGTGACCCGCGGGGGTTTACACGTATGTACTTAATTTTAACGCCAAAAAATATAGGTGCCGATTCTGGCATAATTCTCCAAAATTTAAACTTAATTTAAGATCAGTCTCTCCTTTTCCTTCTGTACAGAGAATGACAAGGATACACTGTTGTCAAATTTGAGCTTATGTTTAGAGAATCATATCAGAATCGAAATCGACACCATACTTGCATATTACTCACAAATAATGTAGCATTCTTAGGTCAAGATAATCTTTAAAATAGACCTAGTCTTTTATGAGTTTATTCATTACATACAAATCTTTTCTCTTTATAATATTAGTATAGATAAAGAGCTAACGAGCCGACCAATGAGCCGTCCGTTAAAGGGTGCATCTTCACCCCAAGACATGGACACCATAGAAGTCATTCATAATAGTACGCTGTTAAGTTATAAATCACCCAGTGTACACGCGCGTAGAGGCTATGAACCAATAGCAGACGAGTCGCGCATTTTTTTTTTGAGTGTGTATGCTGTTGGTCGCAGATGATCTTTACAACGACACCGGGCTTAGGGACGGCGAGATCATAAGGGGACCACAAGCCGAGAATTGGCGGGTGCCTGTAGAGCTATTCCAGGCGGGTGGCATCTCCCCGCGGGGGGAGTCTCCTCACCGTCTGGAGCCTCTAGACCACTCGAACCTGAGGGGGTCGGCTCAACTAAAGTCTCTGAGACTCGAACCTCGGCTCTAGTTAGTCGTTGTCGTGGGGGGCGGGAGTCCCGCATATAACGTATACGGCGAAAGAACTGCCACCTACCTACTTCCGAGATTTATCAATGAATTGCCACCGGAATCACGGGTCACTCTAACAAATGCTAATATTAAATATAAATTAAAAGTAGTTATTTTTTTAAGCATTTAACTGCTAGATGTTTAAATCTAAAGAAAAGTTTTGCTAGAAAAAAATCCACGCGGACCAGGCAGCGGACGGGACTCGAACCCGCACCCTTCGCAATTCGGACGAATGCACTGACCAATTATGCTACCACGGCCCTGATGGCCGCGTCGAAATTTTCCTTCTAATTTTTTTTCTAGTAAAACTTTTCTTTAGATTTATATTAAAAGTACTTTTTAAACAATTTAAAAAATAATGTTTAAAATTACATATGCAATGTACTTATCCAAGCCCAATATGTTTTGTCTATTTTAAATGTGCATTCATACCAATTTGTTAATGTAATAAAGTAACTCCGTTAACAATTTAATTATTATTGTCTTGCAGGCGACATACATACAAACATTGGCTCTTAACGGAATTCGAACCCGGGATCTCCGAGTAGAAGATCTTTGATATGAAGCAAATTATTTAAAGGAGTCAGTTTTTCCATAAATAATTTTATCATTATGTAATTACTTAACCATTAGTTCATTATGTTACAATTTTAATAAGCCACCTTCTTTCTATTGTCCGCGTAGACACACTGTGCCAGACTCCTATGCCTCGGCACCGCTTCCTCAGGTTCTTCGGCTCGGGCTGGCTTGGAAGCCGTCTGCTCCAGCTCCTCCTGCTTTTTCTTGAGCTTCGATAGTGTAGCCTCAGACAACGCCATCTCGCGGTCCACCTGGAAAACAATAGTGATTAATCGATTATTAAAAATCATACGATGATTGCTGAATGGGGTATGTGAATTATGGCGGATACTGACCATCCTGCCGCTTGACCAAGTGTCTTGATCAAATAGACTTGATCAAGCCAAACTAATAATGTATGGTGAGACATTTTGGAAGGTCTAGCTACTTGATGGAAGGATTTAGTATTTATCAAGTCACTTGATCTAGCGCAATCATGGCGAGTGGACACCACTCGATGAACTCGATGGTGCAGTACTTAGGAGTTTACGATCGTGGAAGTTGAACAAACTTAGCATCGGCCAGGCATGGAATGAATGATCAAAAATGTATGATCTCGTTCTCCCTCGTGCTTCCGAAGGGATGTCAAAGTATAGCCGCACGCGATCGTTGGCTTGCGACTGACGCTCGCGGCTAATGCGATTAGTCAGCGTATGAAAATATACGGATGGAGGATCCCTGGTCTGGCAGATCCATCTTACAGTGTGAATACATAACATAATGGGGTGGCATCTGACCAAGAACTACCTCCTCACGGTTCACCCTGGGCAACGGAATAGCTACTAAACGAAATCCGGCTAAGCACTCTTGACATTCACTGGCACACCGGACTGTTCTCCCAGTGCTGTTCGCTGCAGAACACTATGCATCCTTAATCTAATAGCCTTCCTAGAGGCTCCCCCAAAACTGATCCTTCTCAGGAGCCCCGGATAAGAAATATTGGACCATGTGTCCGTATTTTGCAGCCATACGCTATGATGATGATGGCGGCGTCACGTCCCTACCCACACTTAGGTCTGTTGACCGTTGCAGGAGTATAATCTGGTTATTACTAGATATAACCCTGCTCATTTCACAAAGTCCCTAGGCTGAGTGAAATGGGCTGTGAAATAGGCAGGAGAAGATTTCAGATATCCTGTTCGCGCTACTCACGATGGTTTAGGGATGCATAACGCCTTTTCCAGGTATAAATAAATAGTATTACCTTGGATATCTGTTGCAGCAGGTCATCCTTGGTGGTGCGAAAGCTCTGGTCTTCCACCGTGGGCTCCGAAGGCGGGTTGGGTGAGAGCTCCACGGTATTATACGAGTTCACCGACTCCTGAAAAAAAGAAAATATCATGGTTAAGAAGCCAAATTCGTGCCAACTTGTTACTAGGAAAATTATCAGAATTTAGGTACCTATGTCGTTCAAAATATGACAACGACGTGGAGTGAAAAATATGAGTAGCACATTAGGACCAGACCCGTCTTTCCCAGTGGGCACTTTAGACAAGTGCCCAGGGCCCTGTGATCGATAGAGGGCCCCCTCAGATCAAATACAAAGTCCCTAGTTCCTGTTAAATCACCAAACGGAAGTCATAGGGGCCCCATTATCCTAATATGCCCAGGGCCTCCAATAGGTCCAAGACGTCACTGATTATGACACAGTTAATAAAAAGTAATAAAAACATAAAATAACAAATGCATTATAGATATCTATGATATCGTAAATGTTTGTAGCCCTGTCAAATTAGTGTCAAAACTGCTGAAACCTCATTGATGCACATTTATTATTACCGACTAAAACTTCCATCTACTTATATATTTTGTTTTAACTTAGCAGAATCGACTGACACCCGCGAGTCGGTCCACACCGAAGCGGATCTTTTTGACGGGCGGCGCGGCTCCGCGGCGGGTGGATGCTGCGGCTGCGGCTGCGGGGTGGGCTGGTATATAAAGTAATGAATGGTGAACTTACCCTAGTATCGACTCTGAGCGGCTGATGCAAGGACATAGGAGTGGGGGGCGGTCGATCGACACCGAAGCGGATCTTCTTGAAGGGCGGCGGTTCCGCGGCGGGCGGGTGCTGCGGCTGCGGCTGCGGCGCTGGCAGGTAGGCACCGCCCAGCAGCGACACCCGCCCGCCGCGGTACTCGCCGCCCCCGCCGCCGCCGCCGCCACCGCTACGGACGTAGCCGCTGCCATCCCTGCTGACAATAGGAAAAAATCTTCTTTATCCTTCTAACACACAATTTTTAAAGATTCATATTTCATATTACTTATGTCAACATCAGTCGTAAGAAAACATCAGTGGAAATTAAAAGCTCATGGCGAGCCTGATGATAAGCGATCGCAATAGGTTGAATCTATCCCCTTACCCTATGAGGCCATGGATTCTTACTAACAGACACAAATAGTAGTTAAATAAAATAGTATCACTTTTTGACACGGTTAAGTCCTCTACGCACTATCCATCTTGCTGGGTCCAGCATTGCAGGACAGCGTTATACACAGAAGTAACCTACACCTTACAGAAGATCTCATTAAAATAACACTGCCTTTTGTTGGTGTTGTGTTTCTGTCGGTGGGTAAAGTTCCAGGGCTCCACGGGGTAGGGGATTGGGTCAGGATAGGTACGGCACGGGTCTTCAGGCTATGATAGTTGCTTACCATCAGATGAGCTATATGCCTGTTTGCCACTATTTTAAAACAAAAAAAAACTCTTTAACTTGTATAGCGCTATCCCGCATGCTTCAAGATGGACAGTGCGTAAATATTATGTTAGGTTAGGTTAGGTACCTAACGCGCTAGCCCGCATTGCACGCGTTCCTATGATGGGTGGGTGCCCCTTTTACTCCGGGGAACCGCTCATCGGCGTAGGATCCGAGAGAGGACAATCACCGGCGGGCGCATGGCTGGGGTACCATGTATGCCCGCCCCCATACACGTATGTCAGGACCGCGGTCCTCGGGATACGTATCGGGGAAAGGTGCTGGAGTATTGTTTGGTTTTTACAGGGTAGAGCCCTGCCTGCTTCTCTCAGTCGAGAGGCTGGGTGCAAATGTCTAGGAATGGATCGGCAGAAGCCGTATAGTAATAATAAGCGTTCGTTACTGACCTATATTTTGATTTGTTTATTTGGTGAACCTAAGTACCTATAAGTCAAGTTGTATGCAGACCTTTTTGGCTTACTACTGTACTGTACCATTGGCAATTTCTTAATGACACCAGGTCCTATAAATTAAAAGTACATCTTACGATATTCCTTCTGAGAATAAAGAGATGACGTCATTATTACAAAACACCACGTGAACAAAATACAGAGAAAAAAGAATAAGTATCGTGGGGAAGAAAGAGAGACACAGACAAGAAAAACAAAACATATATAGCAGGTAGATACCAGGTACCTACCTAGCATTGTATTTTTTTCTTTTGAATTTGATTACAGAGCGCGCCTTTTTCTAACACCGGTTTCATAATCTTAAAAGGGATATTCCAAAACCGGTGTCCGGTGCTATATTTGTATAAAGAATAGGTGATGAAAATCTTAAGACTTCACATTTTTTTCTTATCTTTAAATCGCACAGAATAATCCCAATTCAACGACCATAAAATTGCTACCTATGTAAAGCGGTTATAAAAAACAATTGCCAACAAGGCCTACATCATTATTAAATAGTATCCCTATTAAGTTATAAAGTACCTATCTCAAAAGTAACTGTGTATGTCTGTTTGTCATGCTTTCGCCACTGAAGATGAAGGGGGATATTGGGAATGAATAAAGAAAAGACTACTAACAATACGCGAGGATAAAATGACAAATAAAAAATATATTATTATGATTAATAATGAAGAAGCAGAGAAGTTAGAATTATAAAATCAAGCATTGAGCGGTGTGACTTCAAAGATTTCACAATTATTAGAAAACTTTAGAAAAATATAGAAAATTATTAGGAATCCTAACAAGCAAGACATTTGTGTAGATTCCAGCATGTTTAACAAAACCTAAACTTAAATTTGACAACAATGTATCCTCCTTCTTCTCTATACAGAATGAAAAGGAGCCGAGAGACTGATGTTAATTTAGATTTAAGTTTAGAAAAGCATGCCAGAATTGACACACGTTTATAAAAAAAAAACTTAGATAAAATTTATAATACCAATACACACTGCCGTTCAAAAGATGCAAGTACATTGCTTACTTAGCAAGTCATAACAAATTTTACGAAATTATTATGAAATAGAAAACACGACAATGCCGCATCGCAACGCAAAGGAGAATTCACTCACAGATGTCCAGCGGCGGGCGGGCGGGGAAGGCAAAAGGCCAAGGTTGCGCGCGGGGAGACGGGGAAGCTAACTGTAGACTACGGTCGCGCTCGTTCGACGAACAATGTTTATTTTTTATTATTATTCCGCGTGGCGTGTAGAGCATTCAACGCACGTGGCGGACAACGTGGCGCGCGCCTAATTTCAAACGTGTTCCATTTTATCTATGGTGTCGCAGCCCGGTTGACGAACACCGCGGCCATTACAAACAAACAGCCTAATAACACCTTTGTGTAATCGATACTTGAAGTTAAAGTTAGCATTTACACGTGTTAGTTTGTGTTGCAGTAACGTTGGCACTCTTATCATTATGACCTTTGCTCGAATGTGATCGCAATCCATTACCGCAACTAAAGTGGAAGACATAAGACACAAAATAGTGATTCTGTAGGGTTTACCATTTTGTATAAGGGCGTGCGTGCTTCTTTGCCGCCTCTATTGACTTTGCCAAAATGTTAAGTCAGTGGTGCACAATTAGTGATTGTTGTCACGCCTGTGGTGTGAAGAGCCTGCCTGAGTTGCATTTCAATTTAAGTAGCACTGGCAATACGGCCAGACTGGCACGAACACCACTTAGTTGAAAAATCTATACACCGCTCACCGGTTCTAAATCCCGATTTAATACATATTTGAAAGATAAGTAGTACCGACTTTCCTCAAAATACCGGACATTGTTCTGTCCGGTATGACCATTTATTTTTTACCGGACAGGCCTTGAAAATACCGGACTGTACGCTTCGATACCGGACATCTGGCAACCCTCTACGTAATAATAACGTCTGCAATATTTATTATTCTTCCCTTGGGTACCGCGGGAATGCACCGAAATATGCTTCAAAAACACGCGGTTTATGTATGACCGTCCGTCCACCTTTCATAACTACTGCTCCTGTTTGGAAGCGATCCAAAAGCTTATGTAAATTTCTGTATGTACAATTACCCAGGTAGGTAGTACGTTCAAATCATGCGCCTGGCACGCGACAGTCGATTCAGACCGGTTTCGAGATTTCAAATTCGTATTATAATATAATATTCTGAAAAAGATAATTTATAAAAAAAAACACCGGTCAAGTGCGAATCGGACTCGCGCAAGAAGGGTTCCACTTCCATACAACAGATGTTCTGTTAATATTAATATAAAACAAAACACAGGTAAATAAAAACCGTATGTTGTAAGTAGGTTGATATTTTAAATATTTATTTTAACTCTTTTTTTATTATTTTCGTTATAGCGGCAACAGATATACATCATCTGTGAAATCTTCAACTTTATATCTATCACGATTCATGAGATACAGCCTGGTGACAGGCAGACAGACGGACAATAGGGTAGTGGTAATTTGTATCCCCGTGGGGTCCCGTTTTATCCTCTGGGTACGGAACCCTAACAAGCTTCAGCCCAGGTAAGTAAATTGACTATCTATGCGTGTGCCAAATTTCATCTAAATTTGTTCAGCCTTTATTTTTTATGTCAAAAGGATGGCAAACAAGCCTGTGGCCCGCCTGATGTCAAGCGGCCACCATAGCCAATGGAAGCTTGCGATACCAAAAATACCTCGCATCTCTTCCTACCCTGACCCAATCCCCTACCCCGCAAAAATAAAATCCAAAATTAATATAGATACATTAAAAACAATAGTCTTAGACAAAAATAATAGAACACATTTATTCGTATATATAGTCGAAATTGTAATGGCAGCAATTGAAAGAAATAAAACGTAAATATTCCATAGGTAATAAACAGTAATATAATTTATATACATATATATAGACATAATAAACATAACTAACACCATTGCGTAATTAGAAAAAACTAAACAAAGTCTCTGATTACGTCAGAGGATCAACTGCATCCGAATTTAACATACGGAGAAAAAAAATCCCCTACCCCGTGGAGCCCTGGAACCTGACTCACCGACAGAAACAACACCACCAAAACGTAGTGCGTGAGATATTCTGTAAGGTTGAGATTATTTTCCCAGTCGAGCACTCCAATTTTTTTTTTTTTAACAGGTGGGGTGGAGTCATTTGTCGGACCTATCTATAAAAAAAAAAATTCAAGCGGAAATTCCGCTGTGCCCTGCCTTACATATTGTTACGTCAGTATCATCGTATCATCTAATACACCTATATATAATGTATGTATACATATAAACTCCACCCACATTTATATGCGAAACTTTGCAAGTGTCTTATACTCAAACGCAACTTAAAAACGAGTTAACCGAATAATGTTGCATACTATAATAAATGGGTTTCATTTACAGTGACAAAATCTTAGCGTAAATTTTTCCCATCCCTGAATTTACTTGAAAGAGATTTTCACTTTTAAAACAATAATACTGAAAAATACAGAGAATATGCTCTTAAAGTCAGTTAAAAACGCCATGACGCGTACGTATCACAATAAGCTAGGCCGCATTCCGAACCTTTAATCCGCCCGAGTCTCTGACTTCTAGTTACCACTTTTTTATTTCGTCTAGAGTGCGTTGATGTAAGATAAAGTACTGTTAGTTATTTAAAGAAATATAGTAGGAATTAACCCAGTAAGAATTAACAAATAGAATATAAAAAAATATACTAGAAATAATTCCAGGCGGTTCAGGTAGCGGACACGAACGTGCACCCTCCCCTAAATTTTCTAGGAAAATTTTCTTTAGATTTAAGTGTCTGACAGTTAAATGTGTAAAATAAAGATGTAATAAAATACATGAATTGAAAATTAAATTAAATAATAAATAAAAAAAAAGTGTTATTGCTATAATAGTATAGCGTAGTCCGAACGCACCTTTACATCCACCGAGCGCGCCGTTCAAATCCCAATTCAAGTTCATTTAAAACGAATTGCATTATCTGTACGTAACAAATTCAGCGCAGC